TTGTCTGCTGTAACCGGGCTTTTTTGACTATGCTGAGTGATCACAAGCAGAAGATACATCACAAAACAAACCTTTATATATATATATATATAATCCATCGAACTTTATTCAGCTTTCGGTAGTTGTACAGACACTTACTAGTGTGTGGTAAAGTTCTGTACAATTTTATCACATGCATACATTCATGTAACTACAACCACAATCAAGATTCCGAATTGTATTATTACCGAAATTCTTTCTCATGTTACCTCTTTATATCTAGATCCAGCTTCTCCTCTGTTAATTACTACCCTGTGGAAATCACTAATCTGTTTTTCATCTCTGATTTTGTTATTTTGGAAATTTTGTATACATGGAACCGTAAATTCTGAGATGGACTTTTTTCCCACTCAATACAATTCCTTTGAAGTCAATCCAAATTGTCAGTAGTTCATTCCTTTTCATTGCTGAGTTTTGCCCCATAGTGTTACAGTTGGGATGTGATATGTTCCCAAAGGGTTCCTGTGTTGGAGTCTTGATCCTCAGGTGTGGCAAGGTTAAGAGGTGGTAGGACCTTTGAGGAGGAGCGTAGTGGGAGGTCATTGGAAGGAATTAATGCAGTTATTGTGGGACCTTGGTTAGTTCTCATGAGAAGATGGTTATAAAGTAAAAGGACTGGCCCCTCTACAGTCTCTTGGCTTCTGTTCTTTCCATATGACCCCTTGCTTTCACACACACTTCTACTGTTGTGATGCCAACAGCCAAGGTGCCATTGCCAAAGCAGAGCAAAAGCCAGTGCCATGCTCTTGAGTGTCTAAATCTGCAAGCCAAATAAATCTCTTTTCTTTATACATTACTCAGCCTCAGGTATTTTTTGTGAAAACAACAGAAAATGGTCATGGACATGGGATGGATATACTCCAGATTGCTTAGCCATTCCTCCATTGGAAGACATTTGGTTTGTTTCCAGCGTTTGGCTTCTGTAAGAAAGAGCTGCAATGAATATTCTTGGACATGCTAAATTACAAAGTACTGATGAAAGGAAGAAGACTTAAGCTTTTTTTTTTGTTTTTCTTTTCTTTTTTTTTTTTGCTGAAAATATAGTGTTTTGTCAAACTTTGTTTTAAGCCTTTTCAAATTATTGAGAATGATATACCACTATTTTTTTTATCTCTTACAACTTACAGTATAAGAGTGAAATTGACATCTTTTCATTTGATTGTTTTTTACCAAAGAAACCTTTTATTTAAGGAATAAAAACTTCATGCATTTCATAAGTACAACTTTAGAAATATAGTGACTCTTCTCACCATACCCGTCCTCCCATGCCTCCCCCTCCTCCCTCCTCCATTTCCAGTTCCATTTTCCGGTAAGATACACTTTCAATTAACTTTATACATACAAGACCAACTCTATATTAAGTAAAGAGTTCAATAATTTACACACACACATACACACACACACACACACACACACACACACTGTTCAACAGCCAAGACAAGGGCTGTTTAAAATCATTGTATCTTGAAGTGAATTTCACTTTTTTTTAGAAACTTAATTAACTTTAATTTTTTAAATATTTTATTTATTTGAAAGACTAAGTTGCAGAGAGAGGTAGAGACAGAGAGAGAGAGAGAGAGAGAGAGAGAGAGAGATCTTCTGTTCCATTGGCTCAGTCCCCAAATGACCGCAATGGCTAGAGCTGTGCTGATCCAAAGCCAGGAGCTGTCAGGGGCCAGGAGCTTCCTCTGGGTCTCCCACGTGTATGCAAGGGCCCAAGGACTTGGGCCATCTTCCACTTCTTGCCCAAGCCATAAGCAGAGAGCTGGATCGGAAATGGAGCAACCAGGACCCGAACCAGCACCTGTATGGGATGCTGGTGCTGCAGGCTGGGGTTTTAACCTGCTGTGCTACAGTGCCATCCCCAAAAGTTAATTAACCTTAAGGAAGCACCCGAGAATGATGCATCTTTTGGGAGCAATTAGACATAATACAACTCTTAGAGGACACAAGTCCTGCATGAGAAGTTAGTGCGCAGTGATTCCTGTTTTTAATTTAACAATTAACACTCTTATATATGACGTAAGTGATCACCCAAGGCTCTTGACATGAGCTGCCTAGGCTATGGAAGTTTTTTGAATCCACAAACTCCATCAGTATTTAGACAAGGCCATAAACAAAGTGGAAGTTCTCTATTCCCTTCAGAGAAAAGTATCTCCTTCTTTGAGGACTATTTTTTTTTTCCACTGAGGTCTTACCCATAGAGGTCCTTCATATAGGACATTTTTTGCCATACTATCTTGGCTTTCCATGCAGGAAATGCTCTAGTTGGCTTTTCAGCCAGACCAGAATGCCTGATTCTGAGGTCAGAATGCTACTTAAAATGATTGGCTTTCTATGAGTTTGCTGTGGGACTGCTTTCCATGTTGGAGCATTCACTACTTTTTAATTCTATATTATTATTATTATCAGACACTTAAGTGTTATCCTTATGATCACTTTAATACTTAAGATGGTATGTTTACCACTCAGCTTAAGAGGATTTGGGATCCCATGGCAAGTTTTTAAACTGTACATTTAGAAGTAAGTCCATATGAGTGTTTTTTTAGCAGCATAAATTTAAATAAAGCGAGCAGGCATCTTTGATAAAAGCAAACTAAAGGGCTTATTTCACACAATTAAAATTACAGGAGAATTGCTTAAATGACAATCATTTTATACGTTTATATGCTGAGATTTTTATATAAAGATTTATTTATTTATTTGAAAGGTAGGATTAGAGAGAGAGAGAGAGAGAGAAATCTTCTATCCACTGTTTCCCTCCTCAAATGATCACAAAGGCTGGGGCTAGGTGAGGCTAAAGCCAGGACCCTGGAACCTCACCTTAGTCTCCTGAGTGGGTGACAGGGGCCCTAGAACTTGGGTCATCTTCTGCTCTCTTCCCAGTCACATTGACAAGAAGCTTATCGGAAGTGGAGCAACCACAACTAGAACCAGCGCTCATATGGGATGCTGGCATTGCAGGCCGCAGCTTAACCCATTGGGGCAAATACAGCTCCATGTTAACTGAGCTTTGATTGAAGTTTCTGTCTAAATGCTTCATATACCACATCTTCAAAAGTGATTTTTTGAATGACTATCCACCATATGCACCTGTTTTGAGATGCAGAGACATACAAACTATGGTTCCTATTTGGTAGTATTATTGAAAGGAAAATTCTATAATCAAAGAAAGTTTGAAGCCAGCACTGTGGCATAGTGGGTAAAGCCACCGCATGCAGTACTGGCATCCCATATGGGCACCAGTTCGAATCCTGGCTGCTCCACTTCCCATCCAGCTCTCTGCTATGGTCTGGGAAAGCAGTACCAGCGTGGGAGACCCTGAAGAAGATCCTGGTTCCTGGCTTCAGATCAGCTCAATTCCAACCACTTCAGCCATCTGGGGAGTGAACCAGCAGATGGAAGACTTCTCTCTCTCTACCTCTGCCTCTCTGTATCTCTGTCTTTTAAATAAATCAGTAAATCTTAAAAAAAAAAAAAAGTTAAGATGCTAGATTTAGTTAAGAAAAATAAAATGTGCTGCATTCATGAATTCAATGGTAATATCATGACAAACAAATGTAGATAAGAAGGTAAAGACTAAATTGTGTTTACATTTTGTGCACTCAAGAGCTAACTGAAGAAGAGGATTTGAGACTAAGCTATATTGGATCCATTCCCAGTTTCCTCTAATACAGGTTTCTTCCTCATGTTTATAACAATTGGAATTCCACATTTTACAAATGCTAATCTAAAATTAGGAGCAAAGCAAAATTTTCTCTTTCTCCACCTTGGAGAAATTTCTAGAGAGAAATTGAGAAAAGATTTTAATAATGGGCCAGGGATGAGATCAAAAGGATGAAGGAATTGTATCAAAAAGACAGAGATTGTATTAAATGTACTTGTTAAGGAATTTCAGGGGTTCTACAGAGTGCCACTCTTGATGACTTTGTTTTGTGTGATAACCTAACTGTTCTTTGGAATACACATTTTCCACGTGGTTATCATCACTGCATGGGGATTTTACTAAGGAGATATCACAAATAGAAATCACTATCCTTTAGTAATATCTTTGTGAAAGCAATTGTGTCCCACAGGTTTATAGATTTCCCTGCTTCCATCACTCTCCGTGAAAGTCAAACCACCAAGTGATATGGGTGAATAAATTTACCCTCCAGGGGCATGAATGAGGGGATGTAGGAGGCTTTATGTAAGAACAAATAGCAAACAAAGTAGTATGTAAATTTTCAATGTGTGCTTTATCATAAGGTAGATAAATTCAGAAGAAACAAAATTTATTTCAACTGGAGTTATGGATAAAAGTTTAGCTCTTGGCCCAGTTGAAAATAGTATTAATTTAAGGAACTAATGGATTATGTTATTAAAAATTCTAATGTATATTTTTTTTGCTATTGACTTGGTAAATGGATTTTTGTGACTTGAATAAAGAAATAACATCATAATTGTGTTTTGATAATTGTGTTGGCCAGGGAGTACTATCTAGAAATCCTCAAGCAAAAGGGTTGAGCAGAGACAGAAAGCAGTTTCACTAGACTCTTGGTCTAGTAAATATTTAGACTAGGGTGATAGTAAAGGAAATGACAAGGAAGTAGAAGAATTGTAGAACCTGTTGACACTGGAAATGTTTGTATAGAGACATATATGTATATATGTGTATATATATGTATGTGTATATATATATAATCATTAACATTTATTTAGTACTTACAATATGTGGTTTGTTTATCTTATTGTATATTTTATTTCAATCATTTTATGAAGTACTGATACTAACATCGTTATAATTCAACCAATTTTCTTAAGATCACATAGTTAATAATTATCAGAACCAAAACCTAAACTTTGGGTCTTTGAACCCAAACCATATTGTATAGGGCATTAACTTATCAGAGACCAAAATAACGAGGTTGATTGTATAATATAAATTTCCTCTTCTTCTTGATTTTGTTTTTGTTTTTTAGTGAGACTTCATGACAGCATATCAGAAGAGGGCTTTCACTACTTGGTGTTTGATTTGTAAGTACACATATGTGTTCATTTATTTTTGTAACTATTTGAAGACCATTCTGAGTTAACTATAATTTTGTTATCTTAAGTGTTAAGTAATTCAGTATAACTTGTTTTAAATTAATAACCACCATAATATTTTAAAGTGTTCTTCAAGTAGCATTCAACTTTAATTTTTTTGAAAACAGGTGACTACTTGGCAGTGTTTTGCTTAAAGGTTGAATTAAGCTTCATAATAGAAACAGTTATGAGTCTGTGTCCTCCTGCAGTATCTATTGTGATATCATATGTGGTTCACAGTTTTACTCTGGGCAACAACAGATGATGGACTTGTTAAATTTTCCACTTAATTTTTAGAAATATGTATAATTTATTGTATTGTGTAAAAAGACTCAAGAAAGAAATTGGCATTACCAAAATTGAGGTTTATCAGAACTCTTAAGCTCAAATTTTGTCAAAGAATGACAGGAACATAATGACTCTTAGCAGGGACATAGTAAACTGGTCACACATATGGCTGGTAGGAGTTTAATAAGAACACATTTTCTGGAAATCATTTTGGTGCTACTTAGCAGAAGATTCAAAAATACCCAAAACTTTTGAAATGGAAATTTCAGTTTTAGGAATAAAGCCCATGGAAAATATATCATAAATTAGAATAAAGCCTTATTCTAAAAGTAATTGATTATATAATATTTTATAGTGGAAGGACAAAGACAAACTTAAGATCCAATAACAGAAAAAAAATCAATGGATATCTGCAGCACATTCGTTTAATGGACTACTCTGTAACATGTGGCATAGTGGATTGAGACACATCCCACATCCCAAATCAGAGGACCTGGTTAGAGTCTCAGCTACCCCACACTTTCAGTCCAGCTTCCTGTTAATGCACTTGGGAAATAGCAGATGGTAATCCAAGTACATGATTTCCTTCCACCTATGTGGTATCCTTGGCTCCTGGCTTCAATTTAGACTATGCTAGACTATTGCAAATGAATCAGCAACCAGAAGATTCTCTCTCTCTCTCTCTCTCTCTCTCTCTCCGTCATTCTCTGTCAATCTGTCTTTGAAAAAAAAAAAAATCAGTAGATCTTTAAGGAAATAACATTTTAATGTCATGTTCACAAAGAGTTTTGGAAGATAGGAAAGAAAAAATCATTTAAGGTAATATGAATATAAGTGTAGACTAATTCTAGGTTTGGTTAATTCAGCCTTTGAATAATATCATTCAAGAAACCATGTCCTGGGACAGACTTTTGGCCTACTGGTTAAGATGCCACTTTAGACACCAGAATCCCATATGCAAGTGCTTGGTCTCATGCAGTGGCCAGAGCTGGACAGTTCTGAATCCAGAAGCCAGAAGCTGGGAGTTACTTCTGGGTCTCTCATGTGCATACAGGGGCCCAAGCACTTAGACCATCCTCCACTGCTTTCCCAGTGCATAGCAGAAAACTGGATCAGAAGTGGAGCAGCTGGAACTCAAACTGATGCCCATATGGACTGCAGGCCAGGGAGCACAGGCCTCAGATTGTATTTCTTAAAGAGTATCTTATTTGAATTTTATTTAGGCTCCTGAATGTATACATTCATGTCTGCCAAACTTGGGAAATTTTTAGGCATTGTTCCTTTAAATACTTTTTGAGCCTCACCTGTCTTCTCTCCTTTTAGAACTATGATGACATTGAAAAGTAATTAAAAATAACGATTCATCTGTACATACCTTCTGAGAGACTCCTGGGAAAGGCTTTCTGTATTCTTTACTAAATTAAGCGAATGATAGGAATCACATACTTCACTTTATTTTTATGCACCATTTTTCAACTATTCACTACAATAATTGATGAAGAACATATAGAGAATACAGTTCACATGAACACAAAGTAAAATTTTCAACTACAGTGGATCATGTCTGTAGCATGGTATTTGGGTAATTAATGTCTCTGAACCCAAAGGAAACACTCAGTATTCCTGAGGTTTACATGTGATATGTAGTCATCTGAAACAGGCTGTGTCACACAGCTGAACCTCCCCTTCTAGAATGAAGAGCCCAGACTGTAATTATCCTTTATTGCTTACGAGAAGAGCTATCAGAAGTTCTTTTCAAAATATTTTGCCAGGAAGTGAGATCAATAAACTAGTAAAACACAATTCAGTAAAGCACCTGGCTTTACAGACAATTAGAAACAATGGATAGAAGTTTATATTTTCAGTGAATAAAAATAAGTAGCTTTTGAAAATGCACATTTTAAATATGCTTAAGAAAGTATGTTCTTAAAATATATCAATGAAATACTCAAAGGAAAATTGGAAGCTGCTTTGCCAATGAATGCCGAGATAAAGTAACTACTTGAATTCCTAAAGGAATTCTTGCGTTCCTCCTTTTGATGGTGGTTTTGGCGAGTGGTACTTGTGCATACTTCCTTTGGAATGTCAGCTATTCAAGATCTAATAGGAAGTTCTATTTTTATAGGTGCATTGAGTACTCATCTAATGGAATACTTTTCACTCTCTTAAAAGCAAAACAAAGGAGGTCATGAGTTCAGTGGAAGAATATTTCTTCTTGCTACTTTAAGTTTATATATTTTTTATTTAGTTATCTAAATACCATTTCAATTACAAAGCTTTAGTAGGCACTTTTGCAAATAAGCTCAGGAACCAGTAGGAAAGACCTTCCTGAAAGCAAATGCATCTTCACTGCAAATAATGAACTGCCCTACTTTTTTTGAAATCATTCCTCAAAGCTTTATGCCTAGCAGGGTTTTTAGGCACACCTCAGCAGCCCTGGGAGGAGGCAAGAGAGGCTAAATTTGTGAAGATGTGGATTTTTCTGAAATCTAAGCCAAAAAAAAAAAAAAAAATGAGGAAATGGAGCTAGAGTGTAGTTTCCAAAGGAAAGAGGCCACTAGGCAGAGACTTGGGCCTCGAAGGCAGATCCAGTCCATTTCTAGGTCTGCCGAGAAATGAGGCCTTGACAAAGACAATGTAACACCTGAATATCTGTGTTGGAGCTGGAAAACTGTTTTCCCTTTGCCCATATTAGGATCTCTGACTTGGCCCCAATAAATTAGATGACAGACACAGATTAAGAAGAAAAACAAACAAGTTTACTAATATGGACATCATGCCTAACAAAAGGAGCATGCTGAGATGAGCAACTCAAAAGTTGTTTATATAGCATCTAAACAAAAGAACAGAAAGTTTGTAGAAACTTAAAATAACAAAAGGAAAGCATGTTGAGTTTCTAGCAGGTTATGGAAAGGTAACTATGTGAGGCAAACTAATGACAGATAAGGGCTGCTTTTAGTGAAGGGTATAATGTGGATTTCTCAGGTGTAGGCCACGGGCTAATGAGGGTCTAGAGTTGTCTCCAGCATTAACTGTGTTCCTTCCCAGGGATCTGGGGGGTAGGGTTAAGGGGTGGAAAGTTTACAATTCATGACTTGCTTTCAGGGAAATAGGGGGGAGTACAGCGCTTTCCTTGTATTTGCTTTTTCTCAGTTGCTTTCAACTTAAAACAGTTCTTAAGACAGTGACATTTGGGATGATGTATTTTGTTGGGTTTCATTAGTGACACATATTTTGGGGACTGTATATGAGAGAAGATCTGTATTATTTGTATGTTGGGTGAATTCATATAAAGTACAGAAATATCAGCATTCTCTAAGCTTCTAGTATATGTATATTAGAATGTCACTGGGCTGATTTTTTGGTAATCTCTTTGGAAACTAAAATAGATAGATTATAATAAGTTTTATGAGAGTACCCTAACAATGACAATACATAATATTTAGTCTCAAAGCTATACAAAGCTACACATTAAGCATTTTCATCTTTTCAAGCTCCATCTTTCTCATACAAAAATGAGTCTGTGAGACTAGATGAAAAATGTGAGAAAAATGTGAGACTAGATGAAAAATGTGTTATACATTGTTCAGATCCTTTGTTGCGTGAGGCCAAACCACTGTTTTCTCAATTTGACATTTCTGGTAGAATTAAGGGAACTTCTGATGTCATTTTTAAATATTGGAAGATATATTAAAATTTTAAGTGATTAGAGAAGAATTCTATTTTTATATCAAATTACAAAAGAAAAAAAGACATTTTGATACATGAAGTACTTCTTTTCATTTCTCAGATTTAAAGTGTTTGTGTGTTGTGTCCCTGGATAAGAAATTCTATTCATCAAATACATAAAGGCTACTTATTAAATGATTTAGGGTAAAAAACAGTGTTTCTTGACTTTTTTGAATGAATTCCCCATTTTGATAAATTCAAAAAACAATGCCCTAAGAGAATCTGATGTGCTGTCTTCCCTTTTCCCATCTTACCATATTTTTATCAGCCAGAAAATGATGGCTGTGTTGAATATTTTGTAGTTATTTCTAGGAAAAATATTTTAATTGAAGTTATAATATTTACTTTTAAAAACTACATCCCTCTCACAAGTAAAGAGTAAATCAGGGGCTGGTGCTGTGTTGTAGTAGGTTAATCCTCCACCTGCAGCGCTGGCATCCTATATGCACGCCGGTTCTAGTCCTGGCTGCTCTTCTTCCAATCCAGCTCTCTGCTGTGGCCTGGGAAAGCAGTAGAAGATGGCCAAGCACCCCTGTGGGAGACCCAGAAGAAGCTCCTAGCTACTGGCTTCAGATTGGCCCAGCTCTAGCCGTAGCAGCCATTTGAGGAGTGAACCAGTGGATGGAAGACCTTTCTCTGTGTGTCTCCTCACTATAACTCTACCTCTCAAATAAATAAATAAAAAATCTTTTTGTTAAAAAAAAAAGAGTAAGTCAGACTCCATTTATTTTTCAGACAATATGGTTCAGAACGTGAATTAGATGAGTTCCAAAAATCTATGGAATAGGCCAAACATGGTAAAGTCTTTGAGTTACACAGGAATTTGGGAGGGGAAGCCAACATTCAGTCAGTCAGGGATGTTAGGAAACAGCAAGAACTGAAGCTGAGGGTAGGCCTGTTAGGACCTTGGAAATATTCTTGCATTGATCAAA